CCACCACCCCAAAACCGTGTCCCCTCCCTGTCCCCCTGACCCTGCCGTGTTCCCCTGCAGATGGAGTGGTGCTGGTGGACCCCGAGTACCTCAAGGAGAGAAAAGGTAACGGTCTCCATGGGGGACGTGGAGGTGACACCCCAAAGTTGGTGTCCCCTCGTGGTCTTGCCCCGGTGGTGGCATCTCTGGGCCCTCGGGTGACATTTTCCAGCCCCTGCCTTGGGATGGGGGGGTCCTGCAATGGGTGGATCTGGCTGGTCCCTGGGATGTGTCCCCCCATCTCCTCACCGTGGCACCTCTTGGGGGCCACCACCGCTTCCTGGTGCTGGTGGGACTGGGATAAGCCGTGATGCCACCATGTCATGGTACCGCCATGCCATGATGCCACCATGCCATGATAACAGCACACCATGGTGCCACCACACCGTGATGCCATCATGTCATGGTGCCACCACACCATGATGCCATCATGCCATGGTGCCACCACACCATGAGTAGACCATGCCATGATGCCACTGTGCCATTGTGCCACCATGCCATGATACCATCATGCCATGAGGCCACCACACCATAATGCCATCATACCATGATGCCACCATGCTGTGATAGCACCATGCCATGATACCATCATGCCATGATGCCACCACACCATGATGCCACCATGCCATGATAGCACCATGATGCCAACCACACCATGACGCCACCACACCATGATACCACCATGCCATGATGCCACCACACCATGATGCCATCATGTCATGGGGCCACCACACCATGATTAGACCATGCCATGATGCCACTGTGCCCTTGTGCCACCATGCCATGATACCATCATGCCATGAGGCCACCACACCATAATGCCATCATACCATGATGCCACCACACCATGATAACACAATGCCATGCTGCCACCACGTCATGATGCCACCATGCCATGATAACACCATGATGCCACCACACCATGATGCCACCATGCCATGATAGCACCATGATGCCACAATACCATTACGCCACCATGCCATGATGCCACCATAATGCCACCACACCATGATGCCACCATGCCATGATAACACCATGATGCCACCACACCATGATAACACAATGCCATGCTGCCACCACGTCATGATGCCACCATGCCATGATAACACCATGATGCCACCACACCATGATAACACAATGCCATGGTGCCATCATGCCATGATAGCACCATGATGCCACCACACCATGATGCCACCATACCATGATGCCACCATGATGCCACCACACCATGATAACACAATGCCATGGTGCCATGATGCCATGATAGCCCCCTGATGCCCCCACACCATGATGCCAGCATGCCATGATAACACCATGATCCCACCATGCCATGATATCACCATACCACGATGTCACCATGTCATGATACCACCAAGCCATGACGCCACCACACCATGATACCACCATGCCATGATATCACCATACCACGATGTCACCATGTCATGATACCACCAAGCCATGACGCCACCACACCATGACGCCACCCTGCCACCAACCTCCACCCCTTGTCACCCTCCCCAGTCTTCGTGACGCTGACCTGCGCCTTCCGCTACGGCCGTGAGGACCTGGACGTGCTGGGGTTGACCTTCCGCAAGGACCTCTTTGTGGCCAACGCCCAGGCCTTCCCCCCGGTCCCTGAGGAGAAGAAGCCCCTGACGCGGCTGCAGGAACGGCTCATCAAGAAGCTGGGCGAGCATGCCTACCCCTTCACCTTCAAGGTAGGGTGACAGCAGGTGACAATGCTCTTCCTTTGCTGCTGGAGAGGATGGTGACCCCATCACTGGGGACATCAGGGTCCCCTCTGGCCCTGTAGGGTTATGGTTGGGGAGGAGATGCTGCCACCCGTGATGAAGATCACAGAGTCATAGGATGGTGGGGGTTGGAAGGGACCTCTGGAGATCATCCAGTCCAACCCCCTTCCAGAGCAGGTCCACCCAGAGCAGGTCCCACAGGAACGTGTCCAGGTGGGGTTGGAATGTCTCCAGAGAAGGAGACTCCACCACCTCTCTGGGCAGCCTCTGCCAGGGCTCTGCCACCCTCAAAGTGAAGAAGTTCCTCTTCATGTTGAGATGGAATTTCTCATCCTTGTTCTTCTTGAACTGGTCCCAGTGCTCCAGCTGGGGCCTCCCCAGGGCAGAGCAGAGGGGCTGGATGACCTCCCTCCACCTGCTGGCCACGCTCTTCTTGATGCCCCCAAGGAGACCGTTGGCCTTCTTGGCCACCAGGGCATGTTGGTGGCTCGTAGGCAACTTGTTGGCCACCAGGACTCCCAGGTCTTTCTCCTCAGAGCTGCTCTCCAGCAGGTCCCCCCCAACCTCTCCTGCTCCATAGGGTTATTCCTCCCCAGGTGCAAGACCCTACACTTGCCCTGGTTGAACTTCATGAGGTTCCTCTTCCCCCCAAACTCTCCAGCCTGTCCAGGTCTCGCTGGGTGGTGGCCCAGCCCTTCTGGTGTGTCACCCGCTCCTCCTGGCTTTGTGTCACCAGCAAACAGCCTGAGGGGACACTCTGTGGATGTGGGTGAAGATGTTGAACAAGAGGAAGCTTTTGTTCATGGATCTCAAAACCCAGGAGCAAAAAGCAGCCACCAGTGGGGAAACTGAGGCACGGGGTCCATGCCCTGAGCTGTGGAGGGGACAACCTGGTGGCATCTTCTAGCTTTGAGCCACCAGCTGAGCCCTGCAGACTCTGAAAAAACCCCTGAGCCTCTTCGAAATAATCTTAATTCCCCCCAAATCCCCCAGATTAACACCAAAAAACCCACCCCCCAACCCAGGGGTTTTCGTTAACCCTTCGGGGCTCGGCTCTGAGGAAGCCCAGGGTGGAAACCAAGAGCGGAACTTGGGTTGAGATCCGGCGCCGCGCAATTAGGAAACGCAATTAGGGAAATGAGGAAGTCCCTCGGGGTGGACCTCCCCCACCGTGGGGGAAGGGCGGGAAGGGGAAATGCTGGAGGCACCAGGAAACGGGGTCCCAAACCCTCCTTCTGACCCCCCCACCCCACCCCTTCTTCTCCTTCCAGATCCCTCCCAACCTGCCTTGCTCCGTCACCCTGCAGCCGGGTCCTGAGGACACGGGGAAGGTAAGGTCCACCCATCCATGTGCCACCAGGTTGGTGGTGACTTGGTCCTAGGTTGGGGTCACCTCCTTGTGGGGGGAGGTGCAAAGGGGTTTCTCTACCTCCTTCTCTGCTCCCTCCTGGTTTCCAGGCCTGTGGTGTGGACTACGAGGTCAAAGCTTTCTGTGCGGAGAACCTGGAGGAGAAAATCCACAAGAGGTGAGCAGAGAAGGTCCATCCAGCCCGGGTGGGAGCCTTGTGGGGGGAGGTGCAAAGGGGTTTCTCTACCTCCTTCTCTGCTCCCTCCTGGTTTCCAGGCCTGTGGTGTGGACTACGAGGTCAAAGCTTTCTGTGCGGAGAACCTGGAGGAGAAAATCCACAAGAGGTGAGCGGAGAAGGTCCATCAAGCCGGGGTGGGAGCAGAGTCCTTGGGGTGCTGGTGGGGTGGGCAACCCATCGGTGGGAAAGGGTCACCCCAGTTTGCTACCCACAGCCAGTGAGATGGGGATGTGATGGAGGTGTCCTCCAAGATGGGGCTGGGACAGAGATGTCCTCCAAGGCTGGGTGTGGGATGGAGATGTTCTCCAGGTTGGGGGAGGGACAGAGATGATCTCCAGGCTGGGGCAGGGGCGGAGATGTCCTCCAGGTTGGGGCAGGGATGGAGATATTCTCCAGATTGGGGGAGGGACAGAGATGATCTCCAGGTTGGGGGAGGAACGGAGATGTTCTCCAGGCTGGGGGAAGGACGGAGATGTTCTCCAGGTTGGGGGAGGGACGGAGATGTTCTCCAGGTTGGGGGAAGGACGGAGATGATCTCCAGGTTGGGGGAGGGATGGAGATGTCCTCCAGGCTGGGGCTTGGGATGGAGATGTCCTTCAGGCTGGGCCTGAGATGATAATGTTCTCCAGGATGGGCCTGGAATAAAGATGTCCTCTAGACTGGGACTGGGATGGAGGTGTTCCCTGGGCTGGGCCTGGGGTAGAGATGTTCTCCAGGTTGAGGCTGGGACAGAGGTGTTGTCTAAGGCTGGGCCTGGAGTTGGGATTATGATGTTCACCAGGATGGAGCTGGGACAGAGATGGTCTCCAGGCTGGGCCTGTGATGATGACGTCCTCCAGGCTGGGCTTAGGATGGAGATGTCCTCCAGGCTGGGGTTGGGATGGAGATATCCTTGAGGCTGGGGGGCTGGAATGGAGATGTTCTTCCAGGCTGGGGTTGGGATGGAGATATCCTTGAGGTTGGGGGGCTGGGATGGTGATGCTCTCCAGGTTGGAGGTGTTCCCCAGGATGGACCTGGGATGGGTGAGAGATGATCTAGGGGTTGAGATGGAGACATCCACCACTGTACTGCAGGCAAGGAGCCCAGCCCTGCCATCATGTGGGGCCACACAGGCATCCTGGCATGGCCATGGGGCTACCCCCTTGCAACCCAGGCCGGGACCTCCCACGCCATCCTTCTCCTGGCCCATCAGACCAGAAGAAAAGAGGGATTTGACCCAAAATGGGCCAAGAGAGTGGGCAGAGCTGCCTGTGGGTGGTTGGACATCTGGGTTCTCCTCTCTCCTGCCAGGAACTCGGTGCGTCTGGTGATCCGTAAGGTCCAGTACGCCCCGGAGCGACCGGGTCCCCAACCCATGGCAGAGACCACCCGGCAGTTCCTCATGTCGGACAAACCACTGCACCTGGAGGCGTCCCTGGACAAGGAGGTGGGTGAAGAACTGGGGACACCGCTGGGGGTGACCCCAGCGAGGACGGGGACCTCATTGTCCCCCCCACCTTTGTTCCACGCAGATCTACTACCACGGAGAACCCATCAGCGTCAACGTCCACGTCACCAACAACACCAACAAGACGGTGAAGAAGATCAAAATCTCAGGTGAGGAGCGGGCCGTGGTGTCCACCCCCACAACCCCAGCTGCTGTCACCGTCCCCGTGGGGACCTTCCCTGACCCCCAACTCTCTCCATCTCTCACCCCAGTGCGCCAGTACGCCGACATCTGCCTCTTCAACACCGCCCAGTACAAGTGCCCGGTGGCCGTGGAGGACGCCGAGTGAGTACCAGCTGCTCGGGGACATCACCAGGGGCCCCCAAGGACCTCAGAGGAGCCTTGGAGGACCACAACGCAGCACCTCCAGAGCAGGGCGGGGTTGTGTTTGGCGAGAAGGTCCTGATGGAAGGAGAGGGGAGATGGAGAATGAGATGGAGAACCTTCTTTTAAGGGCATTTTGCCAAAAGTGGGGGGATTTACATGCTTTTCTGATGGCACCACGGGGGACATCACCCTCCAAGTCCCCCTGGCTGGAGATGAGCTCCAGGCTGGGGCAGAGACACAGATGTCTGCTGCATTGGATTGAGAGTTGGGATAGAGATGATCACCAGACTGGAGCTGGGATGGAGATGTCCTCTAGGCTAGGGCTGGAATGGAGATGTCCTTCAAACTGGTCCTGGGATGGAGTTCTCCTCTTGGCTGGTCCTGCGAAGATGTCCTCTAGGCTGGGGCGGAGAGTTCCTCCAAACTAGTCCTGGGATGGAGATGTCCTCTGTGCTGGGGCTGGGATGGAGATGTTCCTCAGGCTGGGGCTGGGATGGAGGTGTCCTCTACTCTGTGGCTGGGATGGAGGTGTCCTCTACTCTGTGGCTGGGATGGAGATGTCCTCCAAACTTGTCCTGGGAAGGAGATGTCCTCTAGGCTGGGGCTGGGATGGAGATGTCCTCCAGGCTGGTCCTAGGATGGAGATGTTCCCCAGGCTGGTCCTGGGATGGAGATGTTCCCCAGGCTGGGGCTGGGATGGAGATGTTCTGCAGCCCCGGCCTGGGACATAGATGTTCTCCGGACTGGGATGGAGATGTCCATGGTAGCCCATGGGGTTGTGGGAGCTGGGGCTCTGGCTGATGGTGACTCTCATCCCCAGCGACATGGTGGCCCCCAGCTCCACGTTCTGCAAAGTCTACACCTTGACCCCCTTCCTCGCCAACAACCGGGAGAAGCGGGGGCTGGCGCTGGATGGAAAACTCAAGCATGAGGACACCAACCTGGCCTCCAGCACCCTGTGAGCCCCCATCCCACCCAACAACCACCACCCCCGGGGCTCCTCCTCCCTCCTGAAGCGTTGGGTGGGCACATGGAGGAGGACCCAGCCCTGGTGGGCATCCAGCTCCTTCTCCAGAAGCGATGCTCGGGGTGGAGGAGACCTTGGGGATGGACCTTCAGGAGGACAGGGTGGGGGGTGGTCCCCATGGACATTCCCCTCGCTGATGCCCACCTTGCCCCTTCCTCCAAGGTTAAGAGACGGAGCCAACAAGGAGATCCTGGGCATCATCGTCTCCTACAAGGTGAAGGTGAAGCTGGTGGTGTCCCGAGGAGGGTGAGTGTTGGGGGGGACCACCCCCTCTTCCCCCCACCCCCAACCAAGGGCTGCACCCCCTTCTCTTCCCTTCTTCTCTGGGCTTGGGACCGGCCTCAGCGCGTGTCCCCTGGGGTGCTGTGGGGTTCCTGATGGGTGGGGTCATGGAGAACCTGAGGGAGATGCCACCTCTGGGCAAGGTGGCCCTTTCTGGGGACACCAACGTGGCCATTGCTTGGTGAAGGGCAGGGGGGGGGTCATTAATCCTTACAACAACCCCCTTTTGCAGGATGGGGACCCCACTTTCAGCCCATCCGTGGTGGGGCCCATCACCCCCTCCAGGAACTTGGTGGGGTGGGGGGGACACACAAGGTGTGTTGGGGGGTGGCATGTCCTTGTAGGGGGGAGGTGGTGACTAACGTGTTGTCCTCTTGGACCCACCCCAGGCTGCTGGGAGACCTCGCCTCCAGGTAACACCACCCACCCTGCTCACCCCAAAATC